GTATCTGACTAAATACTTTTTTCCCAACTGTATATGGTCATGTTTAGATATGAGTATAGATATATAGGCTTGCAAATATTACAGGGAAAATGCACATACACACACAAGCACAGAGAGAGAAATATCTAGTAGGCCTGGGCGGTTTCGTTCGTTAATTTTGTAATTCGTTAAATATTCGTTATTTTTAACAATTACAAAACGATTACAAAACTTATTTTCAAACCCGGAAGTGTTTTTAAATATCGAAACGGCATCCTCCATCTTTTTTACGAGCTTCCGCCCGTTTCGGAAATGACGTTTTAGGGATGGAGGATGCTGGGTGCGCCGGGAGCCAATCCGGCGCTCCCAAGCACCGTGGCTCATTGTGATTGGGCGGGCTGCCCTTTAAAAGCGGCTCCGCGTGGCCGCATTGCTCATTGCGAAGGAGACGGGAGGTGCGGGAGGGAGGCTTGGCTCTTGGCTGCTTGCTTGCATTCATTCATTCATTCATTCATTGCTTGCTTGCATTCATTCATTCATTGCTTGTGCTTGCATTCATTCATTCATTCATTGCTGGGAGCAGCGGGGAGGCTTTGCCCTGTTTTCGCCCCACAACAGGGCAGGGCAAGCATTTTGTTAATTTTCCATAAATATTTCTGATAAATATTTCTTTTATTCTTAAAAAAATTCAAAAAATATTCTAAAAAAAGAAAAAAACCTTGTGTGCCTGTGTGTGTGTTTGTCCCTGTCCTGTGGCTGTGTTCGCTCCACAACAGGGCAAGCATTTTGTTAATTTTCCATTTTTAAATATTTCTGATAAATATATTTCTTTTATTCTTAAAAAAATTCAAAAAATATTCTAAAAAAAGAAAAAAACCTTATGTGCCTATGTGTGTGTTTGTCCCTGTCCTGTGGCTGTGTTCGCTCCACAACAGGGCAAGCATTTTGTTAATTTTCCATTTTTAAATATATTTCTGATAAATATATTTCTTTTATTCTTAAAAAAATTCAAAAAATATTCTAAAAAAAGAAAAAAAGTGATTTGCACATGCGCGGGGGGTCCGCCATCTTAACGAATCAATTCGTTAATAATAACGAAATTTCGTAAATACCGAACTTTTTTAAAGGAAAATTTTGTAATTATTTTAAATAACGAAACGCAAAACCCCCCCCCCCAAAAAAAACGAATCGATTTTAGAAACAAATTTTTGCGTTGTTACCCAGGCCTAATATGTAGATAGATATAAACATAGATATATAGGGCTTGCAAATATTGCAGGAGGGAAATGCACGTATATAGAGAGAGGATTTGCAAATGTTTCAGGGAGAAATGCATATGTGAAATTAGGATATATAATTATAGATCTATATCTATAGATTGTTTATATAGGCATTGAATGTTTGCCTGTCAATATGTTGGAAGCCGGCCTGAGTCCCCATGGGGAGATAGGGCGGGATACAAATGAAATTATTATTATTATTATTATTATTATTATTATTATGTTATTGTTGATACCATATTATTTTTGTTGACCCTACTTTTTCACTTACAGAGCAAGTTTACTGTTTTTCTTTGAAATATGGTAAATATTCTAAAATATTTAACCTACTGGTGCCTCAATTAATATAATTTTATTGGTATCTATTTTTATTTTGAAATGCACCAGTAGCTGCTGCATTTCCCACCTCAGCTTATATTCGAGTCAGTAAATTTTCCCAGTTTTTGTGGTAAAATTTGGTGCCTCAGCTTATATTCTGGTCAGTTTATACTCGAGTATATACGGTAACTGTGGATATTGGTAGAAAATCATAATTATATTCCTTCTCAGAAATTGAAAATATGTCCTGCATTTTTATGACTATTCATGGTAGTGTCTGGTAAAATTATTTATTTGTTTATTTATTTATTTATTTATTTATTTACTTCATTTGTATATCGCTCTTCTCAGCCCTTAGGCGACTCAGAGCGGTTAACAACAACAGTTTCAACATACACAGTACAAAATCATTGGATATTTAAAAGCAATAGCAAACAATTAATTAAACATCAAACATCAATATAACAAATCCATCACGTCTCATCAATAGAATCAGAATCCAGACTCATTATCCTTTATTCCGTGTTCCAATAATCGATTACACTGCCTAGTCGAATGCCTGTTTGAAGAGCCAGGTCTTCACTTTCCTCCAGAATGCCAGTAGGGAGGGGGCCGATCTGATTTCTGTAGGAAGGGCATTCCACAGCTGAGTGGCCACCACTGAGAAGGCCCTGTCTCTCGTCCCCACCAGGCGTGCTTGTGAAGCTGGCGGGCTCGAGAGCAGGGCCTCCCCAGACGATCTTAATGTCCTAAAATGAATGCTGTTAGACACTGGTGTTAGAAGGAAACACCTGTGTCAAACACCACTATAAACATCAGTTTCAGAAGAAATTAGAAAATAATTAAGAGTGTGCTTTTTGTTGTGACCTTAGGTGGGGAAACCTGAAAACAAAAGACAGAATGTTTTCTGCTTCAAGAAGTATTTTTTTTTCCAATGTCTATTTAATTTGGAAAAAGTTCCAGACTTAAGGCAAAAATCTGTATCAGCTATTTAATCAGACTGAAACAGTCTTGGTCGCCTTAGTGGATGATCTACGGCAGGAGCTAGACAGGGGGAGTGTGTTCCTGTTGGTGCTGCTGGACCTCTCAGCAGCCGTCGATACCGTCGACCACGGTATCCTTCTGGGACGCCTCGCAGGAATGGGCCTTGGAGGCACTGTTCTGCAGTGGCTCCAGTCCTTCCTAGAAGGTCGATCTCAGAAAGTGTTGCTGGGGGACACCTGTTCTGCCCCACAACCATTGTCTTGTGGGGTTCCACAGGGATCAATATTGTCTCCCATGTTGTTTAACATCTGCATGAAGCCGCTGGGGGAGATAATCCGAGTTTCGGGGTACGGTGTCATCTGTACGCGGATGATGTCCAGCTCTGTCACTCCTTTCCACCTGCTACTAAGGAGGCTGTTCAGTTCCTGAACCGGTGCTTGGCAGTTGTAACGGTCTGGATGAGGGCTAACAAATTGAAATTGAATCCAGACAAGACAGAGGTACTCCTCAGTCGTAAGGCCGAACAGGGTATAGGGTTACAGCCTGTGTTGGACGGGGTCACACTCCCCCTGAAGATGCAGGTTCGCAGCTTGGGTGTGATCTTGGACTCATCGCTGAGCCTGGAACCCCAGGTTTCAGCGGTGACCAGGGGAGCATTCGCACAGTTAAAACTTGTGCGCCAGCTGCGCCCGTACCTTGGGAAGTCTGACTTGGCCACGGTAGTCCACGCTCTGGTTACATCCCGCATAGACTACTGCAACGCTCTCTACGTGGAGTTGCCTTTGAAAACTGCCCGGAAGCTTCAAATGGTCCAGCGCTCGGCAGCCAGGTTGCTAACAGGAGCGGCACTCAGGGAGCATACTACTCCTCTGTTGCGCCAGCTCCACTGGCTACTAGTTTGCTACCGGGCACAATTCAAAGTGCTGGCTTTAGCCTATAAAATCCTAAACGGTTCTGGCCCTACTTACCTCTCCAAACGCATCTCCTCCTATGAACCAACTAGGACACTAAGATAATCTGGGGAGGCCCTGCTCTCAGTCCTGCCTGCATCACAGGCGGGGATGAGAGACAGGGCCTTCTCAGTGGTGGCCCCTAGGCTGTGGAACGCCCTGCCTGCAGATATCAGATTGGCCCCCTCCCTGCTGGCATTTCAGAGAAAAGTGAAGACCTGGCTGTTTGAACAAGCATTTGATTAAACAGTGTAATTGAGCATAGAAATACAGAATAATGGATAACGAGACTGGATTCTGATTTTACTGTTGAGGCGCTAATGATTGTTATACTGATGTTAATGATTTCTGTGATAATTGTTTTTTTAATTGCCCTATACTTGTTTTGTGATATTTTGTACTGATGTTGTTCACCGCTTTGAGTCGCCTGAGGGCTGAGAAAAGTGGTATAGAAATAAAGTAAATAAATACATAAATATATAATCATCAGAATAATGTTTATAGGCAGACTGCAGCCTCGATTTAAATTTGTATGTCAGTTGCTGCCAGACAGTGATGATACTTTGTTAGGAAACTAACAAAGTCCTGGTTGTGGAATGCGGCATTTGACAACTGATTTAATTCTTTGCCCACATGAAAGGATGAATGGTATTGTGATGGTGTCGGATGATTTGGCTCTTTTAACTGTGATGATAATGTTTTAACGTGTATAGTAGGGCTGGGCGGTTTCGTTTCGTAATTTCGTAATTCGTTAAAAATTTGTTATTTTTTTTGTTACGAAGCGATAACGAACCATTCAGGAGCATCTAAAAAACGAAACGAATTTTTCAATTTGTTTCGTAATTGCTTCGTATTCGTTTAGTATTCATTTCGAAATCGTTTCGAAATCGTTTCGTTATTACTTCCGCATGTCTGGGGCAAGTTTTATAGCTGTTGTTTGTTTAATCAGTGAAAAAAATTATAAATATCACACCAACAGTCAACAACAGAGGGAGAGGGAAGCTTCAGAAGTTCCCCCTGTCCCATATGGAGGTTTTTTAGCGTATTGCGCGGTCGCGTCCGCCATTAACGAATCGATTCGTATTCGTTTCGAATTCGTTTCGTATTGTTTCGTAATTTTATGAAATTTTGTAAATATCGAATTTTTTTAAATAAAAATTTTGGAATTCTTTTAAATATCGAAACGCAAAAAACCCCAAAAAACGAATTGAGTTTAGAAACAATTTTTTCCGTGGTTGCCCAGCCCTAGTGTATAGTGCTGATATGTTAACCGTGTAATGAAGTGACATTGTGTTGTTATTGTATATTCTTTGTATGTTAACACATGTTGTGAACCAGTCCGAATCCCTCTTTGAAGGTGAGAGGGTCGGTATATAAAACCTCGAAATAAATACATAAATAATACCTCTTGGAGATCCCAAATTAATTAACTCTTTAAATTGGAGCATAGTTGAAGTTATCTCATGTCACTATTTTTTTCTCTTTCTAGGTGATGTCATTGTCTATATTAATGAAGTTTGTGTCCTTGGGCATACTCACGCAGATGTAGTCAAACTCTTCCAGTCTGTTCCCATTGGTCAGAGTGTCAACCTGGTGCTATGTCGTGGATACCCTCTGCCCTTTGATCCTGAAGATCCTGCCAACAGCATGGTGCCACCAATTGCAGTCATGGAGAGGCCTCCAGTAATAGTAAATGGAAGACATAACTATGAAACTTATTTGGAATACATTTCTAGAACTTCTCAGTCTGTTCCAGATGTAACAGATCGGCCGCCACATTCCTTGCACTCCATTCCAGCAGATAGTCAGCTTGATAGCACATTCCCACCACCTGTTCATGATGATAATGTTTCAATGGCTTCTTCTGGGGCCACGCAAGCTGAACTCATGACCTTAACCATTGTGAAAGGGGCCCAGGGCTTTGGCTTCACTATAGCAGACAGCCCCACAGGACAGAGAGTGAAGCAAATTCTAGACATTCAGGGGTGCCCTGGTTTATGTGAAGGTGACCTCATTGTTGAGATCAACCAGCAGAATGTACAGAACCTGAGCCATGCAGAAGTAGTGGATATACTTAAAGAATGTCCAGTTGGAAGTGAGACTTCTTTGATTATCCATAGAGGAGGTAAGTCTAGAAAGTCTGCACAATTACAATAATATGTATGAAAGGATTTAAAATATGTTTGCTGTTTCATTCTGCACAACGTGGAAGAAAATTCTCTTCCGAAGTCTGGAAAAAAATAATGTAGACTTAATGAGGCATTTAGGCATAATGTAAAATTATAGTGTCAGTTCCACTTCTCTTTTGTTTTGGGGCATTAAACACATGACTATTTTTGTCTCTGTAAGTGAAAAATGTAGGTGTTTTTATCTGTCTCAGCTACCATTTTTGCATGATATCTGTACATTGAATGTTTTAAGATGTACAGTGTAGTAGTATTTAACTCCCATATGTGCTTGATTCAATGAGATCTAATGATCAAGCGGGCAATGAATATGTGGTTCATCCAGAAGCAGTCTGTTTGCTTTGTTACATCTTCTTCCATAATATGTTGTAGATATTAGACATAGCAGTCAGTTATGAGAGCTTTCTCTGGTTTGGAAAATTTAATATCTGATTCAGACCAAATTAAGTGATTCAATTACAGATTTGATCATTATCCCCGTGGCATAAATATGTGATTACTTCTATCTATGAGAATTTTATGAACAATTAATACAGATTAGATTTAATTAGAAGCTACCCAGTAGAATTCAAATTGATGGAGACGTTTCCCCAAAAAGGGGAGAAATGGTAATAGACTGATCTGAGGAAAGTGTAAAGAAACCCTGCATTCGCTATGACTGCTGTGGTGAGATATTTTGAGCATTTTTGGTAAATTAACGAATGGTAGAGTACAACAAATGCAAAAATCTACAGGGTTGTTGTAGGTTTTTTCGGGCTGTATGGCCATGGTCTAGAGGCATTCTCTCCTGACGTTTTGCCTGAATCTATGGCAAGCATCCTCAGAGGTAGTGAGGTAGTGACCTCACTACCTCTGAGGATGCTTACCATAGATGCAGGCGAAACATCAGGAGAAGAATGCCTCTAGACCAGGGGTCCACAAACTTTTTAAACAGAGGGCCTGGTCACAGTTCCTCAAACTGTTGGAGGGCCGGATTATAATTTGGAAAAAAAACATGAATTAATTCCTATGCATACCACATATCTTATTTGTAGTGCAAAAATCACTTAAAAACAATACAATAATTAAAATGAAGAGCAATTTTAACAAATATAAACTTATTAGTATCTCAATGGGAAGTGTGGGCCTACTTTTGGCTCATGAGATAGGATTGTTGTCATTGTTGTTGTGTGCTTTCAAGTCATTTCAGACTTAGGTTGACCCTGAGCGAGGGCCAGGTAAATGACCTTGGAGGGCCGCATCCGGCCCCCGGGCCTTAGTTTGAGGACCGCTGCTCTAGACCATGGCCATATAGCCCAAAAAAACCTACAACAACCCAGTGATTCCGGCCATGAAAGCCTTCGACAATACATCAAAAATCTACACTTTATTTGAAGCAGGCATGGGGAAAGGAGCACCCCATGAACAACTATTCAAAAAGAAAAACAATGTGCAGCTCATACTGGAAACCACAAGGAACATGATGTCACTTCGAGGTCACCCAGATGGTATTTGTGCCCCCACCACATCCCCGCCAGCAATGGCGGTGAAAATGTTATGTCACCTCTCATACAGTTGCCCATTACTAAGTAATAAGGGAATATAATGTCATTCCTACATTCTCAGTGTATGATGTGTGTGTGTGTGTGTGTGTGTGTTTGTTTACGGGCACATAGGGAATAGGTGGTCTCCCTTCCACCAAAACAATGAATCGCCATAGAGAAAAGGTGTGCGGAAGGAGGTTTCATCAGTACAAATTGGAATTAGGCCTTTGTAAAAAAAAGAAGAAGACTTAGAGAGGTATCATCTGGCTAAAATCACAGACTTAGAGAAGAGTTTTGGTTGGGTTCCTCCCTCGCCCCCAATATAATCTCATAGATGGAGTTTGAACTAACATAGGGAGAGAGAATTGTAAGAATGATTCAATGCAAAGATTTTGTATCTTGGAAGGTCAAGTTTTCTTGTTTGTGCAAGCATGGCTCTGACAGTCATAATCAGTTTGATAAACATCAGTTGTTTTTAACGATTTTTTGCAACGTGCAGACCTTGTCATGGTGAATTTTTTCCATTTTTTTCTAATATCTTTGTCTACATAAAATCATAGAACTGGATGGGTCCCTAATCCAGTCTCTGCCTAAAGATCTCCTGTCCTGTTGCACACCATGGGAATTAGAGCAGCAAGCATTACATTGGTTCAAAGTCTACAGTCCATAAGACTATTTATTTATTATTTTATTACAGCATTTATATGGCGCCCTTCTCACCCCGAAGGGGACTCAGAGTGGCTTACAAGATATATTTTCATACAATATATTATTAGCATAGTACAATATCAGTATTATATATTACTATATTGCATTATACCATTATATTGTAATATTATTAGTAATATTACATGTAACGTAAATATATAATTATAATTATAATATTAGGTTCTTGTGGGTTTTTTTGGGCTATAGAGCCATGTTCTAGAGGCATTTCTCCTGACGTTTTGCCTGCATCTATGGCAAGCATCCTCAGAGGTAGTGAGGTCTGTTGGAATTAGGACAATGGGTTTATATATCTGTGGAATGACCAGGGTGGGACAAAGAACTCTTGTCTGTTGGAGCTAGGTGTGAATGTTTCAATTGATTAGCATTTGATGGCCTGGCAGCATTTCTGTGTTCTCAAATAATATGCTGTGAATTTCACCATTTCTTTCATACAGTCCCATTCATTATCATGTATTTTATGTATATATATTATATCGGCCTCATTCCAGTAGTTATATATTTCCTAGTGGGTCTCCATTTTGATTGTTGTGGTGTGCCTTCACATCATCTCAGATGTATGACAACTCTAAGGCAAATCTATTGTGGATTTATTCATAGGGAGTTTGCCTTTCTCTTTTTCTGAGATGAGAGAGTGCAACTTGTCCAAGGTCATCCAATATGTTTCCATGGATAAAAAGGTGATATTTGAACTCAGAGTTAGTCCACACTTAAACTACTATATCACATTGGCTCAGCTTTATTTTATTTATTATTTATTTCAAGTATTTCTACCCGCCCTTCTCAACCCCCGAAGGGGAACTCAGGGCGTCTTCCAACCGGCATACGTTGATGCCTACAATTCACACAGTAAAATACATAGTATCAATAAATTATAACAGTTAAAACATAACATTAATACAATAAAAATACAATAAAATGCCAGCCTGGTGGCCATCGTTTTGCTAAGTCCGTAATTAATAAATTCATTCCGCTTATCATAGTCCGTTTCCAAAGCTTGAGTCGTCATTGTTCATTGTCAGTCTGCCAGATTATTCAAAGGCCTGGTTCCATATCCATGTTTTTAATTTCCTTCTGAAAGAGAGGAGGGATGACGATGATCTAATTTCCCCGGGGAGTGAATGCCACAGGCGGGGGCCACCACCGAGAAGGCCCTGTCCCTCGTCCCTGCCAATCTCATTTGTGACAAGGGCGGGGCCGAGAGCAGGGCCCCTCCAGAAGATCTTAAATTCCTAGGCGGGACGTAGAAGGAGATAAGTTCGGACAGGTACGCTGGGCCGGAGCCGTATAGGGTTTTATTCTGTAAGTCTTTGCTCGTAAAATTGCAACTAAAAACAATTTAACTTTTAAATAATCCCACATTGAATATCATCTCTCCACATAAGTATTTTTATTCCTTCTGTACTATATTAGATTTTTAAATTACTTGGTTTTGTCTGTTGGTGTTTTAGACATCTAGATGCAGTTCACTGTATTGTATATATGGTCACATGTGTACTATTTACAATTTTTGGATATTTTTAAACAGTTTCCTTCAACTAATCTAGTTTGATCAACCAGAATATATTATCCTTCTATATTATTCAACATAATAACCATATTTTCAATTTGGACATATTTGCCTTGGATTTTATTCAGTCTATATTATTCACTTAATATGCAGTTCATCCAGATTTTACTATCTTGGCTTCGAAGTGGTATCAGACCGTAAGATTCCGACTTAGACCAAATGGTTCTAGCTTTGTAGTTGCAATAAGACCACACTGTAGTTGCAGTGTGGTCTCTCCTGGCAGGGAGATCTGCAGCCTGGGAGTAGCCACCTTGAAAAGGAGTTCCTCCCATGTCTCCTCTATATGTGTCTGTGACGTAGAAGAGACCCAAAGAAGACTCTCCCACAAGGATCTCAAAACCCGGACATGTTTATATGTCTTTCAGATATTCTAGTTTAAAGGCATATGATTTTAAAGGGAGATGAGACAAATATTGGAGGATAAAGACATCGGTGGCAGTTACTGACAAAATCTGAGGGATTGTGCCTTTTGTTGTAATTTGCTAAGGATTGGTCTACTGTCCTGCTTGTGAGTTCCCCATAAACATCGGTAAGCTACTATAGGAACAGACTGCCCTTTTCCTGATCCAATACAACTCTTTTTAAAAACAGGAAGGTTTACAGTGTCTCATTTTCACAGCATTTACTCCAAGGGCATTATTTTAATTCTTTGTCACAGTATGTGTGGGCGTACAAACGTGCCTTCAAGTCACCAGTCAACTTATGGCAACCCTCATTTTCATAGACAAGGAATACTTAGAAATAATTTTGCCAGTTTCTTCCTCTGTAATATAACCTATAGCAGTTGGTATTCAGTGACAGTCTCCCATCCAAGTCCTAATCAGGGCCGACCCTTCCTAGTTTCCAAGATCAGATGGAATCTGGTGTCTTTGTTATGCATTCAAGAGTCACTGTTTCTTCTTAAAATCGCTCATCTTCCATGTTAAAGCAGCTCCATCTTGTGAGAAATTCATCAATCCATATGTCAGATTGATTCTTCTGTTGTGTAAATATTTTCTTTAATGTTACACAATTGCATAAAAACAATTGCACAGACAGTTTCACAATGCATTTCAATGCCTTTACCCAAGATGTTACTTGCACAACTATGAGGAACCTCTTCGATATTTTCCATGTCTTG